CCCGAGCCTCGTGCGCTCGCGGGCACCTGCAGGCTCCAGAGCCCGCAGCAGCTTACGCAGCCCGCGGCATGGCGCGGAGGCCGGGGGAGGCCGCCACTGGACGCCTGCGGGGCAAGGCCGGGACCCTCCCCTCCTGGCCCGCGGCCGAGCCTAGCTGCGCTTGGAGATCGCCGCTTGGAGATCGCCTGGCGGTGGCGGTGGCGGCGGCGGCGGCACGGGAAGGGGCTGCCCCGCCCCGAGGGCGGCCGCGACCGGGACGGCCCTGCGCCCCCGAGGCCTCGGCGCCGGGGGGCAGGCCCGTTCCGGGGAGGGAACTCCGGGACGCCTACAGCTCGACGGAGACGCGATGCGCTAGGATGGGGTGGGGGTGGGGCGATGGCACCGACTCTCTCCCGGCTCGCCCTCTAGTCCCTGAGCCTTTCTCTACCTCTTTTTTTTCTTCTTTTTTTTTTTTTTTTTAGCGCCAAGCTGCGTGCCGCGAAATTTGGATCTCCCGCGGAAAATGCCGCGCTTCGATTGGCTGCTGCAACAAGAGCAGGCTCCACTCCCCGGAAAGGACCGGTCCTCAAGGCGGTGATTGCAACACGAGCTTTACTGCTTAAAGGGACCGCGGACCTGCTATCGCCTGGTGCCCGCTGGCGCTAGCAGCCCGAGACGTACAAGGCAGAGATAACCAGAACAGGCAGAGCACGCCAAGGAATGGACCCGAATTCCCGGAGGTTGGGGGAAAGCGTTTGGCGCGGAATCCTAACCTGAGCCCAGACCTAACAGTACATTCCTCAGGCCACCGGACCTTTTGTTAGTTTGCATTCTAGCTTGGCTAGCATATGTGCATTAATACCCATATCCCCGCTAAAATGAAAGCCAGGACCCTGTTCCTTTTCTTGGTAGGGGGAGAGGCTCGGAACCTAATATACCTCTTCATAGGGGGAAACTAACATCTGTGAGCGCCTACAGTATGCCAAGCACCTTGCTAGATCATTATAATGTTGTTGAATTTGATCCAACAATCCTGAGAAGAGGAATGATGATAACTGTCATAAAGATGGAGAGTCTGAGAGGCTGGGTAACTTGTCCAAGGTCACACAGCAAAATTAGCTGATATGACAGTTGAATCTGGGACAGTCTAGCTCTGGAGCCTTGTTTGTTCCAGTAAGGGGTTCCTCCCCACCCACCCAAGCTGTGCCCTGCCCCTTGCAGACACAGGGGTCCAGAGTGCAGAGACCTGTCTCGTTCACAGTTGTATTCCCAGGGCCCAACGCTCAGTAAATGTTCGAATCTCTCCAGATTTCTCCTATAACAATCCTTTTGTCACAAGAGCCTCCATCCCTCATTCCAAAGCCTTCAATGCTCATAATCATTTACATCCTTCATCTCTCTTTTTTAGAGATGCTGAGGCTCAGAGAGGTGATGGAGCTAGTAAGTGGCAGAGCTAGAAGCTGCTGCTGGATTCCAGGTCAACTGATTCTTGCCGGGTGCCCTGTGATTTTTATGCAAGTCTGAGCTGGTGTTCAAGGCCCTCCAGAGTCCTTCCCTAGGATCATGAGGACAACATAGCAATAATGCTTGATGGAGCTTAAAAGCCCAGGCTTTAGAGCAACAGCCCTGGGTTCAAACGCAGGCCCTGCCACTTACTAGCTGTGAGCCCATGCTAGTTTTGTAAACTCTCTGAGCTTTGGTTTTCTCATCCTTAACAACACCTCATAGGATTGTGGGGGAATTTCATGAGATAATGCATGTTAAGCTCTCAGCACAGAGCCTGGCTCCTAGGGAACCTCAGAAATGGCAGCTGTTATTACATCTCTGGCCTTATCTCCGTTACACAGATCCCTTCACTCCAGTCTACATTATCTCACAGTCCTTTAAGGCCCCGCTTAAATCGCACATCCTCCAGGAAGTTTCCCTTCCCTTCCCTTCTCTCAGAGTGCCTCTTGCCCTCTTTGGAACTTTAGTACGTTATGCCTCATGTTCCAAGGCTTTATTTTCATGCCTTGTTTATCGGTTAGGTTTCAAGCCCTCTGAAGGGTCCAGGGTATATCCTTCTTCGGATGCCCTTCAGCATCTAGGGCCTGGCTTGGCATGCAGAAGGTGGGTAATAAATATTGATGATATGATTCACTCATCTTCGCAGCAGAGCATAGCAGAGGTTAATGAGATCTGAAGTCAGAAAGTCAGAAGGCCCCGATGCAAGTCCTTGATCTCCACTTCCTAGCTCAGCAACCCTGGACAGGCAGCTGCTCCACCTCTCTTTTTTTTTTTTTTAACTTTTTAAAAATTTTTATTGTACTTTAGGTGAAAGTTTACAGCTCAAGTTAATTTCTCATACAAAAATTTATACACGTATTGTTATGTGACACTAGTTGTAATCTTGATAATGTGACAGCACACTCCACCTTTCCACCCTGTGTTTCCTGTGTCCATTCAACCAGCTCCTGTCCCTTTCTGCCTTCTCATCCTGCCTATGGACAGGAGCTGCACATTTAGTCTCATGTATCTGCTTGAACTAAGAAACACACTCTTCACGAGTATTATTTTATGTTTTATAGTCCAGTCTAATTTTTGTGTGAAGAGTTGGCTTCAGGAATGGTTTTACTTCTGGGTTAACAGAGTCCGAGGGCCATGTTTTCAAGGGTTCCTCTAGTCTCAGACCATTAAGTCTGGTCTTACATGAATTTGAGTTCTTCCCCCTTCTTCACCTCTTTTAAACTCAGGTTCCTTAGCCATCAAACAGGGATAATACCATCAGTTATTTTTTTTATTATTTTATTATTTCACAGGACTTCAGAGACACTGTTGAAATGATCGTGGTGATGATGATTGCTAATGTTTATTGACAGCCTACTATGTGCTGGGTTCCAAGCACTTCATCTTGAGCATCTCCTCTGATCCTCACAACACCTCTCTGAGACAGGCACTATCATTATCCCCATTTTACAGATGAAGGAACCTGGAAGGAATTGTGGCAGAGCAGGTTTGGGAAAGGAGCAGGGCCCCAGGGCCAGGGAGGGAAATGGGGGTGGTAGGGTGGGGCTGAGAGCAGAGAAGGGAGCCAGCAAGGGGGCTGCGGGCCAGCTCTCTGCGGTTGAGTTTCGGGTAGCTAGGGCTGGCTTTAGAGTTTCACTGCCTGGGAACTAATTCCTGCAAGAGGTGTGGGACACAGATCTGAAATCTGTCTCCTTGAGTTTGAATTCCTGCCCCATCTTAGCCAAGTTGTGATCTTAGCCAAGTTGCTGAACCTCTCTGAGCCTCGATTTTCTCATCTTTGAAATGGGGTGGCAAAAGTGACCTCTCGGATTACTAAAACAAAAAACCCATTGTTGTTGAGTCGATTCAATCAGGTGTTGAATGTAAAATCCTTAGGGGGTGCTGGGTGCATACAGTTGCCTTCAAGTCAGTTCCGACTCATAGTGACCTTATGTATGTTAGAGTAGAACCATGCTGCATGGGTTTTCAATGGCTGATTTTTCAGAAGTAGCCTACCAGGCCTTTCTTCTGAGGCACCTCTGGGTGGACTCCAACCTCTAACCTTTTGGTTAGCAGCCAAGTGCGTTAACCCTGTGTACCATCCAGGGACTCGGGGCGGGCCGGGGGGAGGTGTTGCAGATTGCATTTTGTTGTGTTAGTTGCTGTTGAGTCAGTTCTGACTTATGGCGACCCCATGTGTGCAGAGTAGAACCGCTCCACAGGGTTTTCAAGACTGTGACCTTCCAGAAGCAGATTGCCAGGCCTGTCTTTTGAGGCACCTCTGGGAGGTTTCCAATTGCCTGTTGTTTTATTCCGTTGAGTCAATTCTGACTCACAGAGACCCTATAGAACAGAGTAGAACTGCTCCATAGGGTTTCCTAGGCTGTGATCTTTATGGAAGGAGCCCTGGTGGCACAGTGGTTGAAAGTTCAGCTGCTAACTAATATGTTGGCTTTCAAACCCACCAGCCACTCCATGCTCCATCTGTAAAGATTACAGCCTTGAAAACCCTGTGGGGTAGTTCTACTCTGTCATATAGGGTCACTATGAGTTGGAATCGACTTGATGGCAATAGTAATCTTTACAGGAAGAGATTGCTGAGTCTTTTCTCCAGTGGAGTAGCTGGTGGGGTCAAACCACTGACCTTGAGGTTAACAGCCAAGTGCTTAACTGTTGTGCTACCAGGGCTCTTCATCTCTTGCCTAGTAGGTACTTAATGCATTTTAGCTAAGGTTTGTATGATGGAGAGAAGAGGCCTTCACACTGAACCGAACTAAAATGCTTGTAGTTTTCTGTACGTGCCCTGCACTTTCCCACCTCCCAGGCTTTCTTACAAGGCTCCTTACCTGGAATACTCCTCCTCCCCTCCATCCCATGTGCCCAAATCTGGTCCATCCTTCAAAGCCCAACTCAAATGGTGGAGTAGCAAGAGCAAAGAGTCTGACATAGGACACTCAGTAAAACTTCAAACTATTTTTTCACCTTTGTGCCTGCCTTCCCTGAGAGTACCAGACACATAGTAGGCCCGCAGTCAGTAATGATGACAATAGCTCAGGGTGAAGTACCCAGCTAAGCACTTCACAGGCATTATTTTGTTGAAACCTCCCAACTATCCTCTAACATAGGTTCAGTATGTACGGATGAGGAAACTGAGGCTCAAACATACGAAGGGACTTGACCAAGGGCTGGTTAAAGATGAAACTAGGATCTGAACCCAGATCTCCATCTCCTAAGGCACTGGGCTATTTTGAACAAAGACCTCAGCCCCAGAGCCCCATGTGAAGGAGAGTACGTTCTGCCAATGAACCAGGGATTCCAGTGCTGCAGACGTTGTTGGGGATGGAAAGAGCGGGCACCACAACTGGATGAGTTAGGGATGCTTAGCCCCATTTTACAGATGAAGAAGCTGAGGC